ATTTTGCGCCAACTAAAAATTCATTTTTTTAATTTGCCCAAAAATCTGAACTATCTGAGAAAACAAAGCACAGAAAACTCCAAGTTTTAATAGAAGTCAAGGGTTCGCAATTTTGGGAGCGTGTAATACTATCCATACTACAGGGGTGACAAATTTGTGAACCTGTGAGCCCTACATTCCTAACAGGAAATGCAAGGCAGCATGTGCTGGGCTGCGTGTATACTGATGGCCAAATATTCCAGCCCCATCCTTACAGGCTCGAGGTGGCCTATGAGTGATAACACTGAAAGGCTAACACTGGATTCATAGCAAGAACAATAAAAAGGCTGAACCGACTGCATTGAGAGACAATATCACGAGCAATAAAGCGACAAGACCCGCTACCCACAGAGATGTAGCCTAGCCTGTGTTAGGCGACAACTGGCTCCGTCGGATGACGCATGGCCCAGGCCACCTAGCTTACAAAACTACAAACATTTTGCGCCGAGGGTTTGCACTTTAGTGCTTTTCATTTAGGTTTGGGATTTAAAACGGCATCGCAATGTAATAAAAACCCATGAAAAACGCGCAAACTGCTCGCACTCGCTCGCCAAAAATGTGTGACATTCACTTTAGCAAAAGCTCTCTCTATAGCCAGCTGCAGGTTCCACCCTTTATAGTACGTATGACAGTCAGTGTTCAGTCACTCCATTATTACGCTTCTTTAGTGATTCGGGTCATGCATGAACCTCCATCCTGTTTATGGAGAAAAAGTCCAATAATCAGTTGTCCCATCCACTATGATGATTTGAATGTCACTGAAAGTGAATGTGTCAATACATGAATTTTCCTTTTCGATTATGTTCTCTCTACAATGGCAGATTTAGGATTTTGAAAGGGGGGTTCCACTGTCCATGACTGCGCTCGTGCGTGCACACGAGGCCAGCGACGCATGCGCACAAAACAATAGAAAGGGGCGTTCCGCGGAACCCAAGGAACCCCCTGGATCCGCCACTGCTCCATGTCACAATGGATCCCCCATTGAATATTATAATGAACATATAGTTCGTCTCTTACAATAATGCAGACAACAGAAGGAATAATAGATGCTCTGCTAGTTTCCATCATCATGAACACTGAGTTGCTATTGATCAAGCAAAAGCAAAAATAACAGTGACAATAAAGATAGAGAGGGGTTCATTATAATGTTTTCAGTCAGTGTGGGGGTTAATAAACAGAGTATGTGCTCCATTGGTATCCAGTGATGGTGGAATGACCTTGATGGACACACCAGATCCAATCTTCTGTTCTTCCTTTCCATCTTCCTCCTCTTGCCTCTCTCCCTCCCCTTCTCCTCCTCCCCCCACCCCAACACCCTCTTCTTCACCCTCTTCCCCATCTCCTCCCCCTCCCTCTCCCCCACCCCCAGTGAAAGGGTTAAATCCAAACTGCAGGTAGCCTGCATCACGTTCAATGGACTGTGAGACACTACAGTAGAGCTCCTTGAAAGTTGGTCTGTCTTCCGGAGCCATGTGCCAGCACTGAATCATTATCCCATAGCTGTGGGGGACACGCTACTGATAACACACATGTATGCAGCCTTTCGTCTATTACTTACACATAGTCATAATAATGACAATTAAACATTCTTGACTGAAGTACAGGGTTCAATCAGTGTAGCCTATATAGTTGAGCCTGGTAATCAGGCTATCTGAGTACAGTAAATAGCTAAGAGACACGGCGTGGACAGTACAAGTTCTACTATGGTGCTGAAACAGGTATCCTTCAGAGTAGTTCAGAGGATCTTGTTTGAGTGGTTTCACCATAGTTGAATAGTGGCACTCACATTTCCTCGTTGCAGACGGTGTTATAAGGTTGAGGCATCCGGTAGCCCTGTTCCAGACTCTGTATGAGAATGAGAGGATCAGTTCCTGGATATGGGGCCTTCCCTCCACTGAATATCTCCCACGTTGTCACTCCATACGACCACTGTAAACAGTCGGAGAAGAAATTCGATTTTCCTTATGTGTAGCAAAGTGGGCATGCATGTCTGAAGCAGTGAATCCTCTTATTAAAAAAGGACTCTTGGCTTATAAAGGACTCTTGGCTGTCTTAGAGTTAACAAGGCATGCCTCTAAATAAACCCACTTTCAATTGTCCCCAAGGTGTCCCAATTGTAACTGGACATAAGTAACTTGGCTAAGAGAGTTGCAGGATGTAGATGTAGTTTTTAGTCAACGTACCACGTCACTCTTTTCAGAGAAGTGTCCATCACTGAGGCTCTCTGGAGCCATCCACTTGACCGGCAGTTTCACTCCCTCCCCACTCCCACCTCCCTGTCTGAAGTAGTTCTTCTCAAGCAGGTCCTCCGACAGACCAAAGTCTGCGATCTTGATCACGAAATGGGCATCGATCCTGTAGTATAATATGCTTGAAGCTATAAAGCGCTTCAGTCATACAATAAAGATATATTATTATGCAGACTTATGATATTTTGCTGAATAGGTTATGTCAAGTTATTGGGACTCACATGCAGTTCCTGGCAGCGAGGTCTCTATGGACGTATTTGTCAGCTGCCAGGTACTCCATCCCACTGGCTATCTGGGAACACATCACCATCAGTCGCTTACGAACCTCCTTCACCTGGAACAGAGAATAACTAGTCGCCGTACAAATAATCATAAGTAAACGCTAGCTCTAGGAGTTATCTAGCTATAACTGTTTTGGTGGATGGTAATGGAAAAAATTTCATGTTGTCACAGTACCTCACAAAACAACAAAGACTTTCACATACCATGTATATACCAACCAACAAAATTTGACCAATGCAACCCTCCATAATCTGTACATAAACTCTTCACCTCATCTTCATCAGCTTCCTCAGAGAGTACAATGTTCTTTCTTTCTTTCTTGAGGTATTTCAAAAGACTCCCATTGGCCATATAAGGCATGATGATGTAAGGGGCGGAGCCAGCATCAAGACAGACTCCAATTAGACCCATCACATGAGCATGCTTGAATCGACCCATCTTCAAACTCTCCTCCACAAACTTGTCAACCTCATCCTGGTCAAAATCACCTGCAGAAAGAGAGGATGAGTCAGTAACTTGGTTTTCAAATGAGTGTACATTCTCTCGACCTTTCAGTGTCTTCACGGCCACGTCCCTCTTTGTAAGTCCCACTCTGCCTCTGTAGACTATCCCAAACTCCCCTGCAAGAGAAAATGAAGAATGAAGGATGACATAATAACTTAGCAAGCAGACAAGCATATTTCCGCGTCTTTTTACAGAGATGTAAAAGTTACATGTTTGAAGTAGGGTTGCGGGGCATTGGCAAGCGTAGCTAGGGCCACCTTCCCGGTGGTCAGGGTCGGCAGGTGACTAACAGCAGATAGAACAGGATTGGGCAAAGGGAATCTGACTCCGATTTCGTTTTACTGACATTATTACTCCAATCCAGGATGGCGTATATAACAGAAATATACAAACACAAGTGAATGATTGTTGAGGATGCTGCGTAAGCACACTTGAGGAAGCCAATTATAAAATACTCGAACCTTCTCCAATGCAGTCCAATAACGTGATGTCATCAATGTTGAGAAGGAACCTTCCCCTGGATAGTTCCCTCATATGATATGTGGGGATCCTGTTCCTGGACCCAGGGACTTGTAGTGAGCTCGGTGAACCGTCAGATGCCTTCATGGACACTGGTTGACCTATTACAGTGACCAAATTGCAGTGATGATAAATGAAAGGAAAGTGGTTAGAAATTAGCTAACTCTAGATCTAATGCTGTTTGAATGGTGAAAAGATGCAAAATTATAGTATTGCTAAAATGTGCATTTATAGTTCACAATAATACCTAGGTTTCAAACTATGTATGCCAGCTCTGTATGTGTTACTGTAAGGGTTTTATGTGACAATGGAAGCCACCATAGCAGCTCCTTTCTCTCCTGGTTCCATCTCTATGATGGTAAAATGAAAGCAGGTTTCAAACTATAAATGTATACCAGCTCTGTATGTCTTCCTGTAAGGGTTATCTGTAACAATGGAAGCCCCCATAGCAGCTCCTTTCTCTCCTGGTTCCATCTCTATGCTGTGGGTTGTCATTGCTGTCTCCGTTACTGAGGCAAGGACTGGGGCATCATTTCCAGGGCTGCAGAGTAATACACACACACACACACACAGGCTCTGACACATCACAATGTGAGTCCCAACATAGATTACATTGTGGTTGTCTGACATCACAGAGGAAGAGAAAGGTTTCCTCGCAAAATATGTTGCACCATGTCATACTACTGTGGCATAGGTGGCTAGCTATATACTCAGGATTACAAGGTTTGGTTAGCTTTAGTGTCAGTTAGTTAAGGAGAAAGGAGAAGAGCACTGGCAAAAGCATTCAGAATATAGGCATTTATTTGTGAAAAATCTGGGTCCATCTTCATGAAGGTTGTACGGATTGAGGCTTGATTGAGGTTAATCAATTGGTAAACTCACGCCCTGTGACTCACAGGGCTAGTATGTCAAGTTGCATTCTCTCCATTCGTTTTCTCTTATGTCTCCTGGACAGCACCACCATCAATACAACAGCTCCAACAGCTGCCACAGCAAGCAGTAGAATGACAACAAGAACACTGCTGAGAATCCCTGCCACATCCCCTCCACTGTCTCCCTGCCGTGAGGAGGCTTTATCCCCCAGTGAAATGCCTGGAGTGTGTAACACATCCACATTCAGAAAAGCAGTGGTGCTTAAAGTTTAATCTGAAAGAACATGAACTATAGATATCATACATACACCTGTAGCTCAGTGGTAGAGCACTTTGTTTAGAAAACAAAATGTCCTTCCGCTTCTTTGAAAATGGTGTTGTAGCTACAAGGTGTATTTAATAATTACACCCCCTTAGATTAATGCTTCAATTTGGGTCAACATACGACACTGGGTTTAACTCATTCTTAAAAAGTTACAGATTGATGTTTATAACTCCAGCAAGCATGGACATGCATGTATTAAGAGTTGATGAGAGAAAAAGTATGTGTGTGTCACAGACCTAGTCCAGCACCTGTACAACAGTGTGGGATAGGGAAGAGCAAACTGGATGTATCGTTGCAGTCGAGAATTGGATCTATACTCCTGAAGGCTAGTAAAAGGGCATCCCACGTTTTCTGACACTTTTCATGTACCATATGACACTCCTCCTGTTTATGTTAATAGGGGAAAATGGTAACAAAGTCACTAAATAGCAGTGCTTATGTTTATGTGTGCTCGCCCTGCAGGAGTTAAGCTAGTAGATGAAGTTAGAATAAGGGGAAAGGGGCAAACTTTTGTCTGTTCTCAGGGTGTGTAAACAAAGCCTGAGTTTGCATTACTAAACAAGAAAGTACTCCTAGGCAGTGTATTTTGATGCATTACTAATGAGAAAGTATGAATCTTACTTGACAGATGGAGGAAGGAGGGGCAGGGTGGGTGGCATTACCACAGGGTGGTAGGTAGAAATTGCAAAGAACTCTTAAAACCTGATTCACACAGACATCATCGTGATCAGCAATCACAGTCTCTACTGTCTCTAGATTCTCATTGAGATGTTGTGCGATGGTGTTCTGGTCTCCCAGTCTTGATCTGGCGTATACGTGATCAATGCCAAGTCTCACTACACCTTCACATACGGCAGTTTCTGATTTGTACACAGAACACTCTCCATAACTGGGGAAGGATTGGAGGCATAAAAGAGCCGCCAACATGCATGCAATGTAATAACAAGGGTGGGAGTAAGAACTGGGGTATCAGTTAGTAGTCTTCACTCTGTCAGGCACTAATGTGAAGCTAGAGTTTCAGGACTTTGTTGTGCATCTGTCAATCTGTCTTATAGCAGTAGCCTCTGCATGTCTCTTGGTCTAAGCACATGGGTAAAGGAGAGAATTTTGCTCAGCATGCAGATGACACAACAAAGTTTCCCAATCTTCTCTGTATCTCAAGAATTATATACGAGTTCTTGGAGGTATAGATATGTAGGTTTGTGTCAGATTCCCATGCATGCAGTGGCTACAGTTTATGTAGCTACAATGAGAATTCGTAGGGTTCACACTAATATTGCATGTCTTCTGCAATCATTTACTGAGTTTCACTGTATGTCCATGGGGGAAATTGAAAGTAATTTCAGTGTAGTGGCCACACATGCCCCCACATACCTTTGTAGCTCAGGCACTGAAGTAGGGAAAGTTTCGGTACATCTCGGCTGATCTGTATTAATTATCACGGGAAGATTATCATTTAATGAGTCTAGAATCAAGGTGGTCACTGTACTTATTAGTTACTCACTGGAGCTTGACATTCTACAAGAAATTGCTGCAACTGAGCACCCTCCACTGGGTGGCATGTCGTGACTGCATTCACTGAAACTCTGCTCGGAGCCCGTGCATGTCACACTCCCAACAAACACTGGACTATTCTCAAGGATAACAGGCCCCTCAATTATTGCACCATCTAGCATTATAAAGAATAATGCCTTGATACTACTACAGGTTAATACTACTAGTGGTCACTTAATACTACTAGTGGAGTAGCTGGCTAGATCGATCGGCGCATATCGCGAGGCACCGTGTGAGAAAATGTGTAAAAATTTGGAAATTAGTTTCGGATAAAAAGAAGCGCGTACAAAGCCGCGCATGCCCACTTACACGACGTACGACGTACGATAAATAAAGAAAATTCCGCTCGAACGAACGACTAGGTTGGCTTGCTCCCGCTCGCCAATAATAGGACAGAAGTGTGCATTAATATGGGGTGCATGCACAGCTAGTTTGCGAGGAAAGTCACCCCAGATAGTTTGTGCAATCTACAGCTACACCACTGTCACACTTTAAAATGGTTAAGATCGTGCCCTATGCACTGCTCATCTTTGTTTGCCAAACGTTAAATTTACCTCGTGGGTTGAAGTCTAGCTCACTGCACACAACTCTAGCATCTTTCATATCGAACCCATCACTGCAGACTCCTCCCCATCTTCTGTCCATGCAGACCTCCACACGACCAGTGGAGGAGGTAAACCCACCATCCAGCCTCACCTCTCCACCCTCACAGCCTCTCACCTCATCTGTCATGTAAAGAAACAAGATCTGTGGTTGAAATTCCTTCTAAACAGTGTGTGCAAAATAAGTAGCTCTTGCTTGCGGTCTCAGTCACTATACTTCGCATCTAAAACTGCTTGTGCATAGGCCAATCTCAAGATAGACATCAGTCTATAGTGTACCGTGGAACCCCTCTATTGGAATGCCTAATAAGGTTTTTTTGTAACAGTTCCTGCATGGCAAGGACACCTTACTAATATTTTACACTGTGCTTCTCTGGTGTCCAGATTATAGACGTTAATCTTTCAAGTGCATGCACACCCATACATACCATAGCAGCTGATGACGATATCTGGTTCGACATAATCCAAATAGTAGGGACTGCAGTAGTGGGACCCAATGCTGCTGTGAGAGCATTCCAATAGCCCTGACTCTGTTCCAATGCAGTGGACTTCTCCTATTACTGCATCTTTATCACTGGTCCCAAATCGCTCTATGTCATCTTGCAGGATATATGCACCTAGGTCAATAGGATGAAAACATTTTCGATGCTAGAACTGACTGATACTCTAAGGTTGTTATCCCCATGTGATCACACAGGTTAGAGTTACCGCAATGTTAATGAGCAACACAGGATGCACACTTAAGCACATGCCGACTAAATTCATACTCTCTCCGTATTCATTTGAGTGTAGTGGGGGAACAAACCTGAGACTAAACAACAGTTGAACAGGCAAACCAACATTAGAAAATTCTATTAGTATTTATGAAAGAAGCTACTTCTGAGTTTTACCGTCTTTACTATGTGATTCACTGTTAAACACATATTTACCTAGTTAAACTTGACTGAAGCTCGGTAATGCATTTTTAGCAGTGGGAGCTTCTTATCATAATAGCTCACTATCGTCGGAGAAGCCAAGTTGACGGCACACCACTCTGGCATTGTCAGGACCCCAATATCTGAAAGCATTGCAGACTTTGCCCCACACCCCAAGAGCACAGAGCTCCAGTCTCCCGGTGGAGTCTGTTAGTCCACCCACCAGACGAACTGCTCCGTGATCACACTCTTCCACTGTTGTACAAAAGAACAATTTATGCATGCAATTTAGCCATCAGGGAGCTGTGAGAGCATTTTAATAGATGGGTTTGCTTTTGGATTAAGTATTAGTGGTCTACCATTATAGTTAATGAAATATTTTCGAGGGTCCTCTTTGTCAGCTGTGTGCAAAATTTTTCGGGCACGAATTACGATGAGCAATCCATCAAAAGTTATAATCTCTGCTATGCTGTACGTAGCAAACTCACCAAAGCAATTGTTTGTCACTGAGATGTCTGGGCAACATTCGCCATAAAAGAAGCAGTCAGAGCTGCAGCGACAGCCATAGCTAGTGCAGGATTCACCGCTGCATTGGCTGCAGTCAGTAAGACCAACCGTCGTACAAAGAGCTGTAACAAATAGTCATGAAGGTATTGAAAACTTCGTGGCAAAATTGAAAAAAGGTGTACCGAAGCAATCCACCCCAGCAGCATGTGAACACTGATTAACATCAAGCTCAGTTGTAGAGCAGTCACTGAATGTACTGGTGCCACTGGCACACTGAATACTCAGTGGGAGGATGGGATCTGTCCCTCGACCATAGTTGACAACAACTGAAGCTATAATAGAATAGCTATGACGATTTTATATGGCAACATTCATGTTAATCACCATAGTAAGATGTATCATAGCCGAGGGTTTCGCAGACAACTCTTGCTTCCTCTCCTGTGGTATCCCAGTCACTGGCGCATACAGAGTACCAGGTTCCATTATAGCAGTAGGCCACTCTCCCTCGAGATACATCATCACCTCCAACCAGGTGGACAGCTCCCTCAATACATGTTACAACTAGATTGAAAACTGAAGCTTACAGGATAGCAACAAAAACTGTAATACACTTAGACCATCATAATATTATACTTGTACTACAATAGCACTCCTATTCAATGTACACATACAAACTTTGTGTCAAATTGGCCTTTTTCTGTACAGTAATGTATTGTATAGGGATGGGCACAGTACATAGCATCATAGATGTTGCTATGGGGCTATGATAGGGTGTTTTAATTATTTGTTTTAGATTTGTCCCTTACAGTATCGTACTAACTGCGATAAACACGTTAATCATGAACTCACTGGTACATATGACTCCAGCTGCTTCGTACAGGAAGCAGTGATGGACCCCAATACCTCTGTGACTGCAGTCACTGAGACTGCTCTCAGTTCCCTCACAGTGGACATCATCCAGATGATACCGTAGTTCACTACTACCATTGTGGCTTAGCAAAGGATATGAGGCTATTAGGGCAAAATAGAAATCAAGTGTAACGGAGGAAACATTTGGTTATAACACTCTTTTCATGTGAAGTTTGTTTTGACTCTCATGTTGTATTAATTTCTGATATTTAGGCTTACGTCCATCATATCCCAGCTGTCGGCACACAACTTCAGCGTCCCTGTAGTCCCATCTGGTGTCACACACTGAGCCCCACAGCCCATAGAGACAAATCTCAACCAGTCCATCATAGGGGGTTGTACCCGCAACTAGCCTAACATCAGTTTCGTTGCATTCAACGGTGTCTAGGAAATAATTTCAGATGCAGCACTTTGCTTTACACTGTATATTGTGAAACTAAAGCTTACTGCTGCATAAAACTCCAGCTTCTTCATACCCCACACCACAGTTATGAATACCAACTCCTCTATGTTCGCATTCACTCAGTAAGTTTTCATTGCCACTGCAGTGAACATCATCAAGATAATAGAACAGCGACTCGTCTGTTAACACGCGATGACTTGACAGTGCAACAGACGCTGCAAGGAAATGAAGAAGTGAGCATATGTATTAGAAGGGAAAAACTTACTTCCGTTGTACCCCAGTTGCTGACAAACAACTCTAGCATCTCTGTAGTCCCAACTGTCATCACATACTGAGCCCCACAGCCCACTGAAACATATCTCAACTCGTCCATCATCAGAAGTCACACCGTCAACCAGTCTTACATCAGTCTCGTTGCACCCTGACATTCATTGGCTCATGAATAACTCAAGAGATGGGACTATACACAAAAAAAACTCACCATCACGTGCACTGCATATAACTCCAGCTTCTTCTGCCATTACAATACAATTGTGAACACCAATTCCGCCATGTGCACAATCACTCAACATGTCTTCGCTTCCAGAGCACTCAACATCATCCAGGTGATATAGCAGTGGGTAATTAGACAAAACTGGGTGGCTCATCAGTGCAATAGGCCCTGGGATGACGAATATTGCATCAGATAATAATACAGATTTTACCGAGCAAACTCACTTCCATCATATCCTAATTGTCTACACACCACTTCAGCATCTCTGTCATCCCAACTGTCGTCACACACAGATCCCCACACCCTCTCAAAACATATCTCCACCCGTCCATCATTAGGAGTCCTGCCATCAACCAGTCTAACATCAGTCTCATTACACTCCGCTGCGGGTCATGGAATTTTAATGTCAAGCTATGGTCTCTGAGATCAATGAACAAACCATTATAACACAAAACTCCAACATCTTCAAAGTGGTAGCAGTAATCAACATCTAGATCGCTCGAACAGTTCAGAAGACCATTTTCATTCCCAGCACAAGAAAAATGGTGAATTCGACCAGATCCACCGCCGTATTCGGTTAAAGGAATAGCGACTGCAAAAGCAAGGAATAAGCCGCAACAGCTATAGCTAGTTAAACTTACAGTCGTAAAAACCAAGTTGTGAGCATGCGACGCGGGCCTCCGCAACGTCCCAGTCGTCGTCACACACCGTGCCCCATTGTTGGTTGATGCAGATCTCCACTCTGCCGTAAACTCTCACTCCGTCCACATTCACGCCATCCGCCAACCTCACCACTCCCTCTTCGGAGCACTGCTGCCCAGTAACTATAACTACAGACAACGAGAGCAGTCTCACAGTAGCTATGTACTAGCTTGCTACTGCTCAATCCTTACCGACAACAATCTGAACAAGTAGTAAAAAACTTATTCCGAGTAGAACCTGCATTTTTTACGTGTCGGCTCCAAAACGGTGAGATTCACTGCCGGCTGAACAAGCTAGAGTCCTTCTAAATTTGCTTGCAGTCCCCGCAGACGAGTTACGCCCCACACATATTATTTATTGAGGGGCGTGCGTATTAGCCGTAAACAACGTTGTTAGGGGACTGCGCGTTTTATGAAGTGGCTTTTTTATAAAAAGTTTAGCACAGAAGCATACAATACATGTATCTTGCACTCAATTGTTAATACTAGACATATTCCCTTTAGAATATGAAAAGCACTAAAGTGCAAACCCTCGGCGCCACAGTGACGCGCACGCGTAAGTGAAACGCAGGCGCCGTAGCACTCATTGATGATGGGCTGGGTTTAGTTTTAGCTGGTTCCCGTGGTCTCTTGCCAGCTCGGCAGCAGAGTCTGACGCGGGCTAACTGCACTACTAGATAGCAAAGGCGAGAGGCGCGATACACGCCTGCGTTGAAGCCATATTCTGCAGTGCCTCCGAGGTACGCAGAGCACGTTGGACGATCATGCCGTCGCGAGTGCCTATCGCTTTTTTCGCGCTATTCGATCTAGCTTTGTCAACGGAGCAGTTCAGCAAAGAAAAAATGCCCACAAAAATTTCGACCTTCATTGCCGTTCAGTAGGTGGTATCCTGTGAGACGAACGAACCCCGAGAAGTGGAGATGACGCAGTAACAGACAGACACACAGACAGGACAGAGGGTACAGACAGAGACCCAATGAAAGCCTAAAGTGCAAACCTCGGCGAAGTAGTAGCTGCAGAGAGTCTGACACGGGCTTAGTACAGTAGTAGTTTGATGCAGCGAGGAGGCCATTCTGTGACTTCTTGTGCCACCAGATAGACGAGCAAGCGGACCCGGTCGAGGTAAGCCTGTGCTAATATAAGCGCATGCGTTTTTATCCGCCAGCGATTAAAATGGGCCACTCCGGCATTAGCCGTACAATGTGGAAGGCACTCAGCTCTGCAACGGAGCATTTCAGAGAAACCCCAATATTTTTGACCTGTCGCGCCGTTGGGTATGGTTCGTTTTGTGGGAGCGAACGACATTTGAGAGGTTGGAGATGTAGAGAACAGACACACCACACACAGACAACCCAACACAGACCCTCGCTGACATGCGCGCCGAGGGTAACTACCGTAACCTCGCTGCGGCATGCGCGCGAGGGTTAATAATTATGAAAAACACTATAGTGCAAACCTCGGCGAGTGTAAGTAGGCTCGCAGAGAGTCTGGCAGGGGCTAGTACAGTAAAATAGCACGGGGGAGCGTAATGCCCTCTTGTGACTTCTTGTGCCTTCAAGATAGACAGAGCAAGCGGGACACGGTCGCTTAAATTTAAGCGATGGCGCTTATCCGGCCAGCGATTGAAATGGCGACTTATACGGTATAGCAATACATGATAATCATCCCTCTAAGTGGTCCCACAGCTAGGAGGGAATTTACGACAGTCCTTCAGTCTCTACCCAACCTCTCCCTGCTATACCTCCTACTGGTGACAAGGAGGAGGAAGAGGATGGTGTTTATGAGGCCATCCCTGGAGACGATTGACAGTTACAGTACAAAAGACGATAATATTATTATAGGCTAAACTACAAGACTACTTGAACAAACACATTAAGAAAGATTTTTCATAATAATTTTTCCATTGCTCTAAGTAACAAGTAAATAAAAAGCATGGTATAAAAAGAAAGGGAGACAAGATAGGGATGGGATAAATTAAACATGGTTAATGAACAGATTTGAGTATTATACGCTGACACCCACAACCCCATCACACAATGCGTCATATATAACCTTCTCCTTGTTTTATTCCCCCATACAGGCTCCATTAGCAGAGGTCTTGATTGTACCTTCTTTCTTAGTGGTGCCTCCCTGTAATGTTATTATACAAACAGTTGCCTCAAATTCTTTACCTAATACATATAATTTGGTTTCATCAACTAACCTCCAGCTCTGGACAGGTAGATAAAACTCCAACCAGGCGAAGTTGAAAAAACGCGTCTGTGAAAAGCAACAAAAGATTATTAGATGGTTATAGTCTTCAGGAGTTGTTAAAACTTTTGTTTGCAAAAGGTCCAAAGCCTCTACTGTTCCCCGCAGCCAGCGAGCAGGTGTAGACGGTGTTGGGAGAGAACCCAGCCACCGTCTTAGAGGTGGTCTGGATTGAGAGGGACTGGGGGAGGGAGGAGGGGGAGGGGGAGCAGGAGAGGGTGTAGCTAGTGATGACTCCATTATGCTGGGTCACACAGGTGGAGGAGACCAGGAAAAGAACACTTCCCTCTTCCCTTCAATGTTGTTGAATGTTGCTGGGGAGCCTGATGGTGCTGTAAATAGAACGTGTAAAGCTGAAAATGTATTGTGGTGTACATACCAGTTTCTGGTGTCCTGAGGGTGAGATATCTTAGCTGGGACTCAGAGAACAACCCCCTACCAGTGTCAACAAAGATACTGCAGTTGAACGTAACTCCAGAAAAAAGTCCACTCATATTAGCTGAGGTATCTTTTGGGGGTAGTTGGAGAGGTGGTGGGACAGGGATGCCAGCCATTAGCGGTACACATGTCAAGTTGTATCCAGTTCTGAGTGTGGCTTCAATGCTTGTGTGAGCCCATGATGCTGATACCTCACCCTTAAACTCTTCAACAAGGTGGATATCTATAGTTTGCAAAAAACAATTACAGGAATAAGTAGTCAAGAAAAATGTGATAAGGCATGAGGCATAGTTAAGTGTACTTTTGTAGAACCAGAACCAAGATAGTTGTGACTGAAAAAAGGTTAAATTGAGGCTACAACCCACAATAAGAGAGAGATGTTTACCAGTGTCATGGTCCACACGTTGGAATGTCAGGTTAAGCAGTGGCCTTATTCCTAGATCACTGGCTATGATGTATTGAGATGATGAGTGGACAGTGACCTCACAGTAGTACTGGCCAGCATCAGTCATGGCCAGTGAACTAATAGTCAGTGTTGAAGTAAATGAAGATCTTAGACTAGAGGGTTCGAAATATGGAGACTCTGTCACTGGAGATAGCTGGTGTCCACTGTACAGTAACATTCACATCAGTGTCTACTGAAGGATGTAGGGTGGCGGTGCAGGTCAACGTCACACCACTTCCTTCACAGAGTAGACCACTCCCCTCTTGACTTATGGTTACAGTTGGGGTTGGCACTGCATGGGGTATGTAAGGTAATCTGACAAATACTCATCCATTCTCCTTACATTTAACGGTGAGGGTCATTGGTGGTGAATATGAAGGCAATTTGACAAGTGTACTGTCCAGCATGAGAGGTGTGGAGTAAAGAGAAGGAGATATTAGTTGTAGTAGTTGTGGCATTTCTAGCTGTCGTAGTAAAAACAGAGCTATCATCTTCTGCTGAAAGAGTGGAATATCTCAGCCAGAGAGCAGACGGGGAAAGAACTCCAGCTCTCTCTGCTTCTGTTACAGTAACTGTGCATGTAAAAGTGGAAGCAGGTCTTCCAGCCTCCACCACACCTGAATAATATGATGAGTCTATCTCCACTTCTAGGGGGTCTGGGAGTGAAAAAATATACGATAATAGATCAGCTGAGACTCACAAGTAATGCAGCCTACATCTGGGTCACTTATTATGGCTTGCTGTGGCACATGCTCTTGTGATGTAAGCTTATAAGAATATGTGTTTGAAGTTATGCAAACGTAGCAGGTTTAAGAGATTTTGACCATTTTGATGTCTGCATTGGTGGCCTCCGGCTGTTGGGATAATTATGGAGAACAATGTTTAGCTATATACTCCATCTCCAGAGAAACAGAGGCTTTTTACCATTATCTTCAATTCTGATGCTTGATGATGTAGGTGAATCCTATTTATTAGGTAGTGAGTGTCATATAAAGGGTCTCATTAAACCTCGGCGCGCATGCGCAGCGAGGGTCGTTCTGTCATTCTGTCGGTCTGTCTTTCTGTCCGCGCGAGTTCTCGCACTACATGCTACAAGGCGGCCAATGAGTGGCACCAACGGGTTGTGAACAGCGAGAAGATGGATATATTGTGGCGATCTTCCTGAAACGACTGCGTTCCAGAGATATGGCGTGAAAACAAGCGAAAAAGCGTACGCGAGCATCCATCGCGCACGCGCGTATGTTGCCGTAGCTATCCATGCGCATCTGCGAGATGCCACGTGGTTATTTTAGTTGGTTCTTGAGTTTCTCTCCTCTGTCAGTGTTGATCTCTGTTCTCGATGGACAACAAACTGAGCAAGGTATGTCCGCAATGTAGCACAGCAGTTCACGTTAGACGAGCAGTTTGTGGATGCGGCCATGCCTTCCCATCTAAGCGTAAAGCCCAGTCTGGCAATATATCCCAAGCAATGAAGCACAGTAGAATGCAAAAAGCGAATGTGAGAGCCTTTGGAGCAGTGCTATGTTTCTATGTATATCACTTGACCAATTTTATATTAAGTAATTCGGTATTACCATCCCTCCTATAGCTACAGGCTATCCATCAAATGACAGGATTAAAGAAGAACTCTCATTTCTACATTGAAGGATCCCTCTGAGCTATATATTATCAAAGCACAGACACTCCATCCCGTCATTTTCATTGCACAATAATGCTCCTCTCATAGCTGAACTGTGTTACTGCATACTTGCAACAACATGTCATTTGGTTACTCTGATAAGCACTAATGAACTCATAGCAGATATCCTTCATCCAATTTGTTCATCAATTTTGTAGTTACAGTGGAACCTCATTAATACGAACACTGTTAAGCGAAATAACTGTTTGATACGAACTAGCCCACCTAGCTTACAAAACCACAAACGTGCGCATTGTGAGCCGAGGGTTTGCACTTTAGTGCTTTTCATTGCCTTCATTAATTGCATCATCCTGTTGAGAATTGAGCGTCCTTTTAGACTCGCGCAGAGTTAACCGTGCTGTCCAAAGGAACAATCCAACGATATGATGATTGCAAGATCATACTGTACTGTTAAGATGCATGTGAAAACTATGAGGTAGAAAGGAAAAGGCACAACAAACAGATCAACTACACCTAGGACAGTTCTTTTTTTCCAAAGAGCTGCCTTAGGTGGGATTCGAATCCACGACACTCTGCAGTCTAGGCGAGCGCTCTACCAACTGAGCTACCAGGGCAGCTCAGCTGGTAGGGGTTCGAATCTACAACACAACACAACACAAGGCAAACCTCCAACCACTGTGCTATGGCACAGTAAACTCTCACTTAGCATGGCTTAGATACAGACAGAGAGAGCGGGCCGAACAAAGGTGCATTGATACAAAACAAAGAAGTCTTAAAGGAAGACCAAAGAGAAAAGACAGAAGCAAAGGAACAAAGATGAGGCTAGAAATAGACAAAGAGCAGGCTTGTCTAGACATACACAATGAGTAGGCTTGTTCACAAACCAATGTGACGAAATATAATTGGTTACAAAACAATGGTGCATAATAATGCACAACTACCTAGTGTCCAATACAACCCACTAAAGTGTTCTTTTCCACAATCTCCACATTGAAACATTTTCGCACATTGCTTCAAGTGATAATTCAGTTGGTAAATATCTGTAATCTGTTTGGCTATAGCTAGTAATCAACAAATCAGTATGGATAGCTACTCAGTAAAATGAAAAGCACTAAAGCTGCAAACCCTCGGCGAACTGCGCATGCGCGGTACCTCTAATTGCATATGTAGCATGTATCCTCTCCCTTTGCTCTGGGTCGAGGGGTGCGACAGGGTCCATTCTGTCACCAGCGCTATGCAGTCACTCTCTATTGGTGCATCAGTAAACAACATGTATGTGGGTGGCTTTCTGCACGCGGATGACATTCGCACGTTAGCCTCTTCTACAACAACACTTGAAGCACAGATCTCTACCATCAAAAAGTTCACTACCTCCAAGTGTGAGATCGTGGCCTTCAAGAAATCGTCTAGCAGAAAAAACCAAGAAAGCATCGAGGTTGGCAAATGTAGCTTTCCCGTGAGTGGTTGCTTAGGATATCAGTGGAAGCAGGATTTGTCTTCCTCATCTGCAATACAGAATCGCATCCAGAGAGCACGAAAGGCCTACTTTCAGTTTGGCAGCATCTACGCTTTTCAGGGCAAACTGAGCCCTGTATCATGTTGCTCTATAGTGGAGACATGTGTTCTACCCATTCTTCTCTATGGGGTGGAAAACTGGGTTCTGTCACCTGAATCCATCCGAATGCTCGAATGTTTCCAAGGAGGGATTGCAAAAAGAATCCTGAAACTGCCAAAATGGTACTCCAACACCGCGGCGATCGTAGCACTTGGCTGGAACTCACTCCACTCAGTTTGCACCATCAGAAAACTAAGGTTCCTGCAGAGAGTCATGACAAATGAGGAAAGCATCTGTCGTCGAGCTTTCTCAGCTATGGTAGATGACGTGGAGGCACTCAGTCTAGTGAGGGAATGCAGGGAACTGGAGGAGAGGTACAAGTCGAATTTTACATCAGACATACTAGTGCCAATGAGCTCGCAGATGGGCTTAACATGATCAGAAATGCACAAAAGATCATCAACAAGATAGACCAACTGCTGCTGCTACAAAAGGTCTCCAAACATCAGTTTGTGCACAAGATCGCCGAGTGTGTTGGGTGGAAGAAGGTGTGGGATCATGCACTGGATCACGGTCCCTCAGTTATTAAGGGGATGAAGAACCTTGTGAGGGTGATTACCTGCCCAGATCATTCACCCAGCAAATGTCCTCTGTGAGATACAGCTGATCTGGACAAACCAACTCTGGCCGAACATGTCATCACCAACCACACAAAAAGTGACAACTCCTGGTGCACTCTACTTGACTCTTTGACTACCATGGACCCCACCTTCTTCAGTCATGTGTTATGCTTCCTACATGCTTTTTTTTAATTCATGGGCTGGGCTTAAGTAAGATCATTGAACGCCTCATTCTACATAAGTATTCCACCTACTTCTTTAGTAGTCCACTGCAATTTGGTTTCAAATCTGCCTATTCAACAACGTTATGCACTGGTGTCGTGAAGAATATAGTTTCTCGTTACATTAACCGAGGATCTTCAGTTCTAGGGTGCTTTTTGGATGCTAGTAAGGCCTTTGACTGGGTCAATCATGGCATAATTGTTCCAAAAACTGCTTAAACGAGGTTTGCCCTTGCCAGTTGTTCTGTCTTCCTGGTATCATGATCAGCAAATGAGTGTTCGTTGGGGGAACAATCTTTGTCTAGCTCGTTTTGTGTGTCTAATGGCATTAGGCAAGGCAGTGTGCTTTCTCCTGTTTTGTTTTCTGTATACTTGGATGAGTTGCTGAGTGATAGTAATGTTGGTTGTTATTGGGGTGGTCATTTTGCTGGTGCTGTCGTCTATGCCGATGATATTGTTTTACTGGCTCCCTCTGTTTCGGCCCTCCGACGCATGCTGAGTATCTGTGATTCATTTGCAACTTCTCATGGGCTACTTTTCAATGCTGACAAAACTCAATTAACCTGTTTTCGGGCACGGAAGTCAAATACGCTACTTCCTTGTATCATGTTCAACAACACAAAGTTGCAATATCTTGATAGAGTTTTGCACTTGGGACACATACTCACGTACAACCTGGACGACAGAGAAGACATCATCAGAGTCATAAAAGATATCAACCGCAAAGCTAACTTCGTTTTATGTAAATTTCTGCTGCCGACCCCTTTGTCAAGTGTTTTCTTATTAAGTCTTACTGTTTATCATTGTATGTTATCACCCTCTGGTCACTCTCTTCACCTTCCATTAGACTCATTGAGGTTGCTCTGAATAAAGTATTGCGTAAAGTATGGAACCTCAGCAACATGTCACACACTGGGATTGTCCATAGCGCTGCACAAATACCTACAATCAGTAACATTCTGTATGATCGTTTCTGTTCTTTCTTTTCTCATGCTACCTCTACTTCCTCCATCCTTGTGAGATCTGTCTTTTCTGATTCTTCCAATTATGTTTACACTTTTACCGGTTATAATTTTGTTGATGGATATGATCATTATAGGCATTTCATGGATACAGACCTTTTTGCTGCTCTCATAATTAGACAATTGAGGTCATTCTATGGATTATGGACATTGCTATCATGCTCCTAAGTTCATCTGTTTTTTGTAATTTTTTGGTTCTGAACCAGTGAACTAGTGAACTACAGAACCAGTGAACCAGTGAACTGGTGAACTACTGAACCACTGAACTAGTGATCTTGAGAACTACTGAACCGGTGAACTAGTGATCCGGTGAACTACAGAACCAGTGAACCAGTGAACTAGTGAACTACAGAACTAGTGAACTACAGAATCAGTGAACTAGTGAACCACTGAACCACTGAACTGGTGAACTACTGAACCACTGAACTAGTGATCTTGAGAACTACTGAACCGGTGAACTAGTGATCCGGTGAACTACAGAACCAGTGAACCAGTGAACTAGTGAACTACAGAACTAGTGAACTACAGAATCAGTGAACTAGTGAACCACTGAACTGGTGAACTACTGAACCACTGAACTAGTGATCTGGAGAACTACTGAACCGGTCAACTAGTGATCCGGTGAACTACTGATCCAGTGAACTAGGTGAACCTGTGAACCTGTGAACTACTGAACTAGTGAACCACTGAACTAGTGAACCACTGAACCACTGAACTACAGAACCAGTCAACTAGTGAACTACCAAACCAGTCAACTAGTGATCCGGTGAACTACAGAACCAGTGAACCAGTGAACTAGTGAACTACAGAACTAGTGAACTACAGAACCAGTGAACTAGTGAACTACTGAACCAGTGAACTAGTGAACTACTGAACCAGTGAACTGAACCACTGAACTAGTGAACCAGTGAACCACTGAACTAGTGAACCAGTGAACTACAGAACCAGTGAACTAGTGAACTACTGAACCAGTGAACTAGTGAACTACTGAACCAGTGAACTAGTGAACTACTGAACCAGTGAACTAGTGAACTACTGAACCAGTGAACTAGTGAACTACAGAACCAGTGAACTGTGAACTACTGAACCAGTGAACTAGTGAACTACTGAACCAGTGAACTACTGAACTACTGAACCAGTGAACTGGTGAACTACTGAACTACTGAACCAGTGAACTAGTGAACTACTGAACCAGTGAACTAATGAACTAGTCAACCAAATAGCCTGCATTATCATTTAGGTCTTTCTGTGAGCATGCGTACTCTACTGATTATGCTGGATTATGAAACCATCGATCTAGTTTGAGTGCTGTACTGTATCAATAATTGATTCTGGTGTAATTCCAAGTTTGAGATTACTTGTCGCCCAGTGCACAACTTAACAGTATACCCAAAACAGACACACTGGCCAGACAGAATGTGTCACAACAGGCTATCCGCTTGCCACGATCGTAATGGAAACGTGGGTGAGGCGCGCGCCGCGAGCGACTCTTATATAACGCACACTCGCAAAGCAAGTGTTTCCAGTTAGTTCTCAGCATGGAGGCTCCGCTCGCTTCACGGCAGGAGACAAGGCGGCGAAGAGGAGTGGGGAGACAATGGCCCAAGGTGATGCTCAGTGGGAAACTGGGGTCTGCGTCTATCTGGACAACTCCAATATATTTATTGAGGCGCAGAGACTGGCCGTCACCAGAAACGGCAACTCCGTCGATCCGTCTGTGAGGCGTCGCATACGAGTGGATTTCGACAATCTCGTGGCACTCTGTTGTGCAAATCGGAAACTCGTCTCTGCTCTAGCTGCGGGATCGATACCCCCTGAGCTGCGCAATCTCTGGTCCAGGCTGGAGGCGGCCACGGGGGCGCACGTTTCCCTCTTCGATAGAAGATATAAGGATTGCAAGGAACAGCAAGTGCCGGAGATGCGCCTTCAAAGGGGCATGTACAAGGATGCAGCGATGCGAGCACCTGGTGTGGCGGTGCTCGTCACTGGGGATGGAGCGGAATATGAGCCAGGGGAAGGTTTTTTTTCAACACTCCAGAACCTCAAGTCTAAAGGATGGAAAATTGAAGTGATGTCGTGGAGGCACTGCATCAACCGGAAGATGTTGAGGTGGGTGGAGGGAAATGGGATCTTTGTGGCACTAGATGACTTCTATGAGGAGATCACGTTCCTGGAAGAAGGAAAGCAGCGGACATCAGACTACAGGGTGCCTGCTCGGCTTGCCAAGCCAATTGATCTGAGACGCAGACCTGCGTACGAGGACTTCCGTCTATAATACATTGAACACTGTTCATAGTACCACCAATAGGTGGTTATGTTCGAATCTGTATTGTTTTATCAAAGTTGTTCTACCAGCACTAACCAAAATTAAAAGCACAGAAGTGCAAAATCCTCAGCGTAAAAACAATGTGCATTGACAGTTGCTATGATCATGATGACCTCCCTTTTGTAGTAAATATGGGACCTAACTATACGCAGTGCGTATTAGTAAAGGAGAGAGAGGGAAAAAACCCACGTGGCTGGGTGTGAATGCACGCATGCTCAAAAAACCCACATGGTTCCGTAAATGCACGCACATGCTCATTAACCGAAAACCATCTCTGGGGTGATCCCCTGCTGGTTTTCTCCCTAATATCATATATACTTCCAGGAGAGTCAACATATCCTTCAGGTGGCAGGAACCTAAATGTTACGGTGCATTCGGCGTGAAGAAGAGTTTGTGGTTGGGATGAAGACCTATAGCACTGATAAGGTTTATTGAAGATATCATCAGAAGTGGAAAGTTGCGAGGATTCCAATGGTGTTAGTGTTTTTACAATTGGATGCAAAATAAACAAGTTATGAACATTTTTCTGAGGGCACAGGTGAAGTCACAAACAATACAGCTTATGCTGGACCCTGTGTCACCTTGTTCAGGTTTGCAACCTCACTCACACTATAATGGGAGGGAGAGAGAGAGGGAGGAAGGCACAAACATTTTCGTGCATAGTATAAATTTCTACTAAAACACAACAATTGATATGTCGAAATTCAGTGCTGGACTGAGAATCACATAACTTTGGCGTGACCTGCAGTAGGAGTAAAAACCAGGAACCACCTCTGGGGGATCACCACAGAGATGGTTTTCGTCGATTATTAAAACACTGCGCGCCGCGTAGTATTTCTCCGCGAACGCGGAATTACGCATGCGCGGAGTATTGCCACGCCCATCCGCGTAATACATAATTCCGCGCAATATTGTCGAAATGGGGTGCTGTCGCTGCAACCGCTCAGGGGGATGTAAGAACTGCTCTTGCGTGAAACAAGGCCAGTCCTGTTCCGGCTGTCTCCCCGGCCAGCTTGGTCGGTGCGTCAATCCTGTCCCTGCCTCAGTCCCCGCTTCTGTCCCCGTGTCCACTTCTGTTCCTGCGTCTGCTCCAGCGTCTATTCCAGCCTTTGACGCCGCGCCTCCCTCGTGCCCTGCCCCTGCTCTGGCCTCTCCCTCTCCTCCGTCGGTCCCCTCCCGCCCGGCTCCTTCTCCCCCCCGTTCGCACGGGGACCTTCCCTCCCCTCTCTGGACGCCATCTTTAGCCTGCGTGTCTCTACCCTCCGCCATGTTCCGAAGGGAGCCAGGGACGCTTGGGCTGGCCTTGTTGGTGAGTGTTGCCATACAATCTGTCGGACCCCCTTGATGAAGGGTCTTGGATGAAATTCTCCTATTGGCTAGATGTATCCTCGCCAGTCCCCCTAGGGGGGTCGTTCGCATTGGTGTGTTACATTAAAACTGGTCCAAGCACGTATCGCCAAGTGGAAGTCTGGGGGGGTGGTTGTCCCTCTGGTGTGAGGTCAGGGGGAGAATGAGCGGCTTCTCCGGCATCTAAAGAAGTTCCAGTCTGACCCCGCCTCTCAGGAATCAATCCGGTCAGCTAACGTTCGTCGTGCTCGTAGGGCTGTTGAAGACAGGCAATTCAGGAAAGCCATTCATCTCTCTCTTCTGCGGGTTTTGCCCCCTCCTCCGTCGATGCTCTGAATGTGATGCGTTCCAAGCACCCTCCCACCTTCCTCCCTCCCTTTTCCATCCCCGGCTCACCCCCAGTCAGTCTCAGTCTGGAGTCACTAAGGCCCTTCGATCTTTCCCAGTGAGTACAGCCCTGTCATGTCCTGTCTCAGGGCTCTCACGTAAAGGACGGCGTGTGTCTGTCCTTCTCCTGACCGCCTCCTCTTTTGTTATACAGTGCGCTGGTTGGAGTGTTAACCTTCTGTGTAGAGGCTCGCGGTGCCCCGTCCAGCCTCCCCGTTCATCTCTGCGGCGGGCAACAGCTCGGCCTGCCCAAAGAAGGGAGCGACGGTCTCGTCCCAGCTGCTGTTGGGGAGTTCTTCGTCGTAGACATACAAGTGTGTGTCACGGGCAGCCGAGCCGATACCATCACTACTCTTTCTCACCTCCAAGTTGGAGCTGGCCGGCCTGGAGGCTGGAGGCAGTCGGCATTCGGGCTAGTGCCCATCAACGACAGGACCTTTCCTCTGACTCTCGCCTGTTTCTCCTCTCCAATGCTTTTGAACTCTGTTGATCGGAAGTGTATGTTTGCTGAGGCGCGGTCTCGTATCCCCTCATGTCAGCTGGCTTGAATGTGTGCTATGGCATCACAGCCACTCCTCTGATCATTTACGTCGACGACATTATTCCCAGCTGCTGTGGGGTCCAGCAGGTGACCCACTGGGCCCGCTGGGTTTTCCCTCGCCCTACAGCCCATTCTTGAGCAGATCAATCGAGATGTTCAAGGTCTCCTCATGAACGTCTCGTTATCTAGAGACGGGACTCTGTGGCCCTCTGAGTGATCTCATGCGGTGCTTTGACATCTTGAGGCTGAGGGGCCTTCCAGTGGTTGCTGCTAACCGGAGCAAATCCCTTCTCATCATCCCCCTGATGCTTCACCCCCCTCTTGTCTCTCCCCAGGGTGTTCTGTCTCCGATGGCGGTTTTGTGCTCGGGTTGCCTATAGGATCTGCATCCTTCTGCACCTCACAGTCATGAAGGGATTGCCAAAATTCAGGACACCCTCGTGAATTTGCAGGGACCTCAAGATACCCAAATGGAAACCGCTCTCTGCGGTCATGCCTCTCCCTCCCCAAAATTTCCTTCACTCCGCACTGTGCCCTACTGATTCATCCTGCAATTGCAGCCTTGACAACATCATGACGGGACTCCTTGGAAGACCTCTGTGGGGCCCCATCTCTGACTGGAGCTGGTTGAAGATAAGCGTCGCTGCATGTCTCTTGGGGTTGGCCTAATCTCCGTCAGGCACACTCCACTGAGCGCCTGCAGCTTTCAGTGGATCCCTCGTGTTGCCAAATCTCCGCCACCCTCCTCCTGTCCCCGCTAGTCTCCACTTCCTGTCTGGCCACTCTGTGCTGGGGCAGCTGGGCATCATGAGTGGAGTCTATCTACAGGACATCGATGTCTCCGGCAGCGCTCCCTCTCATACGCCATTGACAGGAAGCTTTCGACTCTTCTCACTCCGTTGGTCCCCTTCTTTTTTGACCCCGTTACTCGGCCCTTGCCCAATCGATGTGTATCTCAACCATGCTGGTGTGATGGACGAACGCAGTCTCACTTCGCTTCCCTCGGCCTCACTCACTGGATCGTGAGTGACGGGTTTGCCTACAATATTGGTGGGGTCCCGATTTTTGAGGAGGGGGTGAAATGCAGCGTTGATGACCCCTTTGGTGGACCTACGGGGTAGTGGGTCGTGCTTTTTCTCGTTTGCGAACGTGTGTGATAGAAAGCGTAGGCACAACTCTGTATGTCGATTCAATCTTTTCATGCCGCACCGCTCCTGCTGCTGTGCTCCGCCGAAGGAGGCACGATATCTAATCCGACGGGATCACAGAGCCGACCGCCGCGACATCCTGCTTCCTAATTGAGGCAAGCGGGGTCAACCAGCTGCGATGGATGTGACGGTCATTGCCTCATTCAACCCCTCACACCCTGCAGAGGGGCTGCCTCCGCTGCTGGCCAGTGCCCTCGCTGTTGCGGGCATCGAAAGATGGAAGCTATGCGCTGGCGCGCTGCTTGGTCTATTTCAGCACCGTGCTTTTGAGGGCCCTGGGCGGCGATGAGTGAGGCACAACCACTCGTGGTCCCGACATGGTCGCTCCTACTGGGCCAGCGTTTAGGGGTC